ATCCTTTTAAAAATCAGGAGAATTTTGAAAAATATAATGAGCAACTGAAAAAGGAAGTTGAAAAAGTACAAAAAAATCTTAGAACTACTAAACAAACTAAATTTAGACGTGACCTTAAGGATTGGGAAACAGGTGAGATATTTGATCTCACTACCAAAAGAAGTAGAAGTCGATCTAAACGAAGAGGATTTCGTTCACACTCTAGATCAATGGGGGAAACCATATCTAGTGAAAGTGATTCTGAAAATCTTGGGAAATCTGTTTCTTTTTTAGACCAACAAAATGGAGAACCTCCTCGCACCAATCAATTACAGATGGGAAGAGGATCCAAAAAGAAAGTAGAGGAATCCTTAAAAAACAAACATCAGGAAAACAAGGGCAGAACAAGAAGTCAGAGGAGGTAGTAGATGAAAATATTCATGATAAAAAGGTAATCAATTTGGCTAATTTTCCACTCAGAAGGGAACATATTTTTTTATTAAATAAAGGTATGTCCTTTTCACCAGTGACCCCCATGGATGAGTTCGAGGTATTTAAAGATGTTAACTTATTTTTAAGAAAAGTTTTCTTGAGAATGATACATGGCAATCCCACTATGTTGGAGGATATGGCCTCCGATTCGTCCATGGAGGATCGCAAGATGCTCGATATGTTGATATCTCTCATGGAGGAAAATGAGGATGGTGATGAGAGCGAAATAGATTTGGATAATCACAGTAATGTGATTAGAAAAGTTGATCTGAATATTAGATCGACGAAAATGCCGAAAATTCGTTCCAACATGAGGATCTCGGCATTTCTAGATTTTGTTGCTGATGATCTTAAAAATCTTGAGTGGAAAATGCCAATTGGTGACAATCTTACTAAAAAAGAAAGAAAAGCCCTTAAAGAATTAAAAGAGACTAAGAATATTGTAATTAAGAGAAGTGACAAAGGGGGTAATGTAGTGATTTTAAATGAACAAAACTATGTCAGGGAGGTGAAACGCTTATTAAGTGATTCATCTACCTATAGGAAAGTAGCCACTAATCCTTTTCATGTGGTGGCAAAAAAATTAAATTCCATCTTAACACTGGGAAAAGAAGTGGGTTTGTTAACTAAAAAAGAGTATGAGTATCTGAGAACTGAAGAATTTAATCACCCTACTTTTTACATTATCCCTAAAATACACAAAAATCAAGAAAATCCTCCGGGTAGACCTATTGTTTCTGCCATCAATGGTCCCCTAGATAAAACAGGGAAATATATAGATCTGTTTCTTAAAGATATGGTCCCTAATCTCCCCTCTTATGTAAGGGATACTAAAGATGTGTTGGCTAAGATTGAGAATATGACTATTAATGAGAATTCCATTCTAGTGGGAATAGATGTGGAATCACTTTACACCTCTATCCCACATGAATGTGGTGTGAGATCGGCCTCTTACTTCCTTGATAAAACATATCCTACTTTGGGAGGACAGAATGAATTTATTAGTGAGTTGTTGGATTTTGCATTACGACATAACTTTTTTCAATTTAATAATACCTTTTATCAACAGACTAGAGGTACTAGCATGGGAGCACCGTGGGCTCCGGCCTACGCATGTCTTCATTTAGGTTTCTGGGAGGAGCAGGTTGTCTTCAGATCATCAAGATTTCTTGTTAATGTCCAGATTTGGTTAAGATATATAGATGATGTGTTCCTTGTATGGCGAGGAACATCTGAGGAATTAAAACTTTCCATGGAGGAGTTAAATCATAACTCCTTCAATATTGGACTTACATATATATCTGATGAAAGATGTATTTCCTTTCTGGACCTGGAAATTAGACTTGAGAACGGAAGACTCCTCACAAAGACATATAGGAAACCAACTGCTGCCAATACCCTATTAGAGGCTAGGAGCTACCACCCACGTTCACTGATTTCAGGGATTCCAGTGGGACAGTTTTTGAGATGTCAGAGAGAAATTGTTCAAACATCAATGACTTTAGGATGGAGGCTCAGGACCTCTATAGAAGATTTAGGGAAAGGGGATACTCCCACTCTCTCAAATCAGAAAGGCTCGGAGACGGGCATATCAAACTGACCGCAAGGATCTATTATCTCCTAAAAAGGATGAGAAGGCCAAATTAAGTGATCAACCTGTCAGAATGATAACCCAATTTGGAGCCCAATGGCAAGATGTAAAATTAATATTAGAAAAACATTGGAAAATTTTAACTCAATGTCCCAAATTGAATAAGATTGTAGGTGAACGCCCCCAGATGGTAGCAAGAAGAGCACCAAATCTTGGTGATCTCCTTATCCATTCTGATTATCAACCGTTAAAACAAACAACATGGTTAAAATCACGTACTAAGGGGATGTTTAAATGTGGAAAATGTCAAATCTGTAAATATGTGGATCGTACGGATTCTTTTTCTGACTCAGGAAACAACACTCACTATAAAATTCAAAGTCTCATAAATTGCTCTACAGTGAGAGTATTATATATTTTAACCTGTCCTTGTAAAAAGATGTATATAGGTAAGACCAAAAGACAACTTAAAGTACGAATAGGTGAACATCTTAGAGATATTAGATCAAATGATCCTGAAAGCAATCTTGCTCACATTACGCTAAATATCATGGAGGTAAATTGGATGGTACAAAAGTGAAAGGTTTCTATGCATTGCACTTTCCACAAAGGAGAGGTGATTTTGACAGAGAATTGCTTAAAAAGGAGAAATATTGGATATATAAGCTTGATACATTATACCCAAAGGGGTTAAATGTGGAATGTGATCTCCAAGTATTTTTGGATAAATAGATCTACATAGTTATGTACCCTTATATTTCCATATGTTGACCAACCTATGGCATTTTCCTGTCTTCATTAATAGTTGGATTATATGCTAAATAATTAAGGTTAACCTTTTTTCGCATTTGGGAACAATATTGATGATCTCATGATATAAGTTTGAATATATTTTCTCCAATAATAACTATACCATAAATGGGTATTTGAAATCTGGGTATCTTTGATAATATAATTCATAATGAGATCCCTTAGTCAATATTGCCATCTTGTGGTGGCTTTGTGGTAACTTATATTGTACTCTTAGGAACTTGATTTAATGAATAGGCCTGGTAATTCTTTCACTAATATTGCCATCTTCTGGTGAGAATGTGGTAATGTCTCAACTGATCATTATATTTAATCTATGGTCTTTCGATTTATATATGTATTGTTAAAATTGCTAAGCCTTTCCTTTCTCTGATACTTCCAGTCGCCTGCTTTTTAATTGTATTCAATTATGACCAGCAGCTGTGCTAAGTATTTAGCCCCCTTTTTTTTTTTCTCCATTGGGAATAGCTGCAAGCTAGTTTTTGCATAAATGGGTGGGTCTTAACCCACTATAAATAGGAAATTGAAATGCAGTTGTCTCATTGGTCCTGACGAAGCTGAGTGAGATACGCCCATCGGCGAAACGCGTTGACGTCATACGTCAGATACGTCACTTCCGGTCATGCGCATTAGGTGGAACGCACGCTGACCTACAAGGAGGAAGCCATTTTTCACATGCCATGAGGCAAGCCTAGGCAGCACAGGCGCCGAGAAGAGGCTGGAACCCGCGGTATATCGGCGGATGTCAGCGGTGGTTCCTTGGCCTCCCTGGCCTTGTATGGCAGTACCTATGAAGGACATCCTTTCCTCTCCTATTATCCATTGCACAGGTGGTGAGTGGACTGCTGCAGGACACTAGATATATGGTCCTATGTGACCTATATGACCTATATATCCTATATAGAGTGAAAGCTCTTTCAGTGACATTCCACATATTGTTTGTTTCACTACAGGATGGGGACATCATGGTGCTTTGTATAGGAAACAAGATATACCACATGTATTTCAACAGGCAGAAGATCCATTGGGATGTGTCTTGTTTTTCTTACAGAAAGTGGTATGTAGTCCACATGCAGTGGTGAAGAAACCATTTCAAGCAGTGCGCTGCTTTATGCATCTATCCTTCCATCCTGGTAAAAAATGGGGCATATTTTTATTCAAGAGCCCTAGGAAACAGCTGGTAATATCACAGATGAATGGGCCCCAACCACTTGTGCCGGCATAGGAATGTACTGCATCATTTATATGAGATTTATGTTTTGTCTCATATAGGCCCAGAGGCATGCCTTCTTTTTGACGCATACTGTGCTTGCTGCATTGCATACATGTGATACTTATATCCATGGTATAATTTTTTGAAATTCCCTGTTTGGGATATAACCATTCTGGTAGTAGCATAGTCTACACATTTATAACACGTTTTATGGTATACCTATGGTATAATTTTTGTATACACCTCCTTTGGGAAGTGTTCACCTATGCGCCAGTGCTACAGGAACTTTAGAATCTTGTAGTCATTTTCTCTTGTTGCACTTGCATTTAGACCGGTCTTGGTGTCATTTTATATGGTTTTAGGTCTGTGTGTATTGTCTCATACTGAGGTGATGGTAAACCAGGGCGATTGCCCATATGTCAAATTTGTATGTGTAATAAAGCATAATTTTTGGAAATTTTTCTGAGTATCACATTCTGTTCATAATGTAGCCGCTTTCTTTGTGAATTTCTTTTCACAACCCCCCTCTTTTTGCATGCCTTACTGTGCCAACCTTAACCACTTGCCTACCAGGCACTTATACCCCCTTCCTTACCAGGCCAATTTTCAGCTATCAGCGCTGCCGCACTTTGATTGACAATTGCGCGGTCATGCAACATTGTACCCATATGAAATTTTGATAATTTTTTTCTCACAAATAGAGCTTTCTTTTGGTGGTATTTAATCGCCACTGGGCGCTTTACTTTTTGCGCTATAAATTAAAAATTGCAAAACATTTGAAAAAAAAAAAAAAAAGTTTCTTTGTTTCTATTATAAAATTTTTCAAACAGGTATTTTTTCTCCTTCACTGATGTGCGTTGATGAGGCAGCACTGATGGGCACTGATAGGCGGCACTGATGGGCACTGATAGGCAGCACTAAAGGGCACTGATAGGCAGCACTAATGAGGTGGCACGGATAGGCGGCACTGATAGGCAGCACTAATGAGGTGTCACAGATAGGCGGCACTAATATGCAGCACTGATAGGCAGCACTGATAGGTGACACTGATGATGGGTACTGATAGATGGCACTGACTGGCATCACTGCTGGGCACTGACTGGCGGCACTGACTGGCACAACCGCTGGGCACTGACTGGTGGCACTGACTGGCAGCACTGCTGGGCTGCCCTGGTGGGCAGCACTGGTGGGTGGGCACAGGTGGGTGGCACTGGTGGGCACAGGTGGGGTGGGCACTGGTGGGCACAGGTAGGTGGCACTTCTGGGCATAGGTGTGTGACACTGCAGAGTGGCACAGGTGGGTGCACTGCTGGGCACAGGTGGGTGCACTGCTGGGCACAGGTGGGCGGAGCTAGTGGGCGCACTGCTGGGCACAGGTGGGCGGAACTTGTGGGTGGCACTGCTGGGCACCGATCATCAGGGCACTGATCATCAGTGGCCCTGATGATCGGTGCCGATCCTCGCTCTGACAACTGCCGGTTCTCGGCAGTACTTTCCTCACGATCTGACAGCGTGAGGAAAGTGCAGCCGAGAACCGGCACTTGCATTTCCCTGTGATCAGCGTGTTATTGGACACTGCTGATCACGTGGTAAAAGGCCGGTATGATCGGCCTTTTACCACATCTCGTGATCAGCTGTGTCCGTAGGACACAGCGATCATGGAGATCGCCGGGTGCACGCCCCCTGGGGCGCGCAGGAGAGCGCGTTCTGGGGGGACGTCCACTCAGAACTGGCCGGCCGCAGTTTAGCCGTCATTCGGCTATCTGCGGTCGGCAACTGGTTAAAGAAGAACTTCATTAAAACCAGGACCTGTTGAGGCAATGAACATCTTGGTCAGGTCTATGTACAACATTATGTACAAAGTAGAGGGGTCAAGTAAAGTAAAAAAAACAAAACAACATATGAAGTGCAGCAGTCAAGATAAGCGTCATGTTTACATCAGAGTCCTCCCTTACATCAGTGTCTCCAGAGTGCAACCATCTTACATCAGAGTCCGTCAGGGTGCCCCTCCTAAAAATCAGAGTCTGGCAGAATGTCCCCCTTACATCAGAGTCCAGCAGAGTGCCGCCCTTACATCAGAGTCTGGCAAAGTGCCCCCCTTACATCAGAGTCCAGCAGAGTGCCACTCTTACACATATCTTCACCACTGGTGGGCAGCTGGCAGGAAAAAGCTTTTAATAAAATTCCCTGGTCATGGGCTCTGAACTGTGCATGCGCAGTTCCAGAGCGAGCTATCTGATAAACTGCCGGGCTCAGCCTCAACTCATCCGGAGGGGCATGTGAATATAAGTCATGCCTAATAAGCACCATGATGTCACTGCACAGGTGCTCACTTAGACCCACCCTACTGCCTGATCTGATGTCGAGCTAAGCAGTTGTCTAATCGACTGGCTCTGGCGCTGTGCATGCACAGTTCGGAGCCCATGACAAGGACATTTTTTTATGGGCACCTTTCTCCTGTATATGGACATTTATGAAAAGCAGAAACGTGCCTGTTTTTAGAAACTGTCTAAATTTATGGACGGTTGGCAACACAGGGCTGGAATGTACAAATACTGCTCCTGTGATGTTTTGTTTTATGGCCGCAGCAGGAATCCTATCCTCAATTGCTTTCTGTAGGCACAGTGCCTGATGAACATGACCCATTCAAGTGAATAAGGCTTCTCTGCAAGCACCCCCACAATGAAATACAGCACCTCCTCACTGCCTGGCTAATGCTCTTTGAAGAGTGATCTGAATGACCTTGATTGCTCTTCAGAGACCAAAGTACGTGTGAACTAGCCCCTAAGGGGATGCTGGGGTTGGGCAGGAAGGAATCACAAACTTGTGAGTAAAAACCCCATCAGTTTATCCAACTAGCAGATTGTTAGCTTCCCCCAGTAGTACTTCAGTTGTGCCTGAGTGTTAACTGGACATGAGCAAAGTGGGCTAGCGAAACAGATGGGGGATAGAACGGAAGGAGATGGGGAGAGTTCAGTCATAGTGCAGAGCTAAGCTCACTCACCCCAGGTTGGTCTCTGATGGTTCAGCCAGAGAAATCAATCTTACAGACACCATGTAGTCACCGGCTGTAGTGCTTCAAATCTCCTGCCCACACAGACAGAAGAGAGGGGCAGGAGGAGATAGTGCACATTGATCCCTCTCTTTTCTGTCTGTGCAGGAAAAAGAGGGGAGGTGTGCTGGCTGGGGTCTGTGAGAGTGTCACAGACAGCCTTGAGAGATGCAGCCAGCTGCTGCAGAAAGCTTCTTCTGATGAACAACTCCAGTGGTTGCCTGGGGGTGCAACTGAAATTTGGGCGGGGGCATAGCCCCCCCCAGCACCCTCCTAGATCCAGCCATGCTTCTAATCATAACCAAATGTAGTGCTTGGACTCACCAGTTTACAACAGATGTCAAAACATTTGATGTATTTGCTAAGGGTGGGTAACTACTTGACCAGGCAGATCATTTTCTTAATATTTACAGTCATAATGTTAATTAATATGTCTTTATATGTTATACAGACGTGCTCTATATAATCTGCTACCTTCATGTTCTGAATAATTGTTATAACAATATTATTTTATTGGGCATACAATATACTGTAGATATATTAAAATATAGAAATGGACTTTCACAGCAGCACCTGCAGGTTATCAATGACAGGCAGTTATAAATCATACGCATGTAGTACTTAGTCATTCCTCATACTAAGCTATTTCATAGGGCTCAGTGCCAGGTGAACTTGGCTTGACCACTGAGACCATTGTTATTCCTGGCTGCGAAGAGTGTTTATTCCTGCAGACCCTTCTCTCCCTGTGTCACATAGAACACAGTAGTTTAACCTGTCTGAACCTGATGGCTCCAGAGAAATCTAACTGTATTATATCTCAGTATAAAAAGCAAATCTTTTTGCAGTCTAATAAATATCCTATGCCTTTCTTCAAATGTTGTATCATTTTTCCTCATTCACAGGGGTGCAGAGGCCCATACAGCATGAACAGATGGTTGTTCATGCATCCGGAGCAGCATGAATCTCTATGCAGGCAATGGCTGTACAGTATGGCACACTGACAAGCATGCAGGGACATGTGCATGGTCCCAGACTCAGTCTGTCTGCATTTCAGAGCTGTGCACCGGTCCCGTTGTACCTGTCAGACTGGGTGTCAGAGCCTGGGTCCGACCCTGGGCCTTCGCAATGAGTGCCAATGTTTCTTCTTGCTGAGCCACCTGGAATGCTGGACAGCTCCCTTGACAATTATTTGGATGATCCGACCTTGACTTTGTTTGTCATGAACCTTGAACCCCTTGCTCCTCCCATGAACTTCCTGATATAAACCATGTCACTGCACTTCCCGTTTGCCAGATTATTGTGCTCTCCAGCCAGTATCGTGCGCCTTATCATCTCTGCTGTTATCCGTCTTTTGCTATCACTCATTATTGACCCTTGGCTTGTTCTCAACTAAGCTTCTGCCTGATCCCAACCTGTGACTGCTCATTACCGACCTTGGCTTGTTTACTGACCATGCTTCCGTTTGATCCTTACCTGTTTATACGTTACTGGACCTCCGCTTGCTCACCGCCTGGTGGGGTGATCCCGAGGACCGTGACCTGGTGCTAACACGCAGCCAAATCCATCTCCACCATTAGGAGCTCAGGTGAACACTGGCTGGTATTGGACTCTGCACCTCAGGTGATCCCACTCCTCTTCCATGGTGACCTGCCTGTGTACCTATCTTGCTGGTTTCAGGTGAGCCTTTCCACTGCTATAGCAACTGGTCTTTGAGCCTGACCCCATATCGTGACCAGGGGCGGACTGACCATTTGGAAACTCGGGCACTGCCCGAGAGCCCGGGGTCAGTAGGGGGCCCCATGAGATGCCCCTGGTAAATTTTTCATAGTCTTTTTTGAGTTTGGGCAAGGACACAGGGGCCTCTTGATCCCCTATTGCCCGGGGGCCCCATGAGTTGTCAGTCCGCCCCTGATCGTGACACTGGGATTTGCACAGCTGAGTCACTATTGACTAACAAGCATTGCCTGCACACAGTCCACACTGCTCTGGCCACATACAGAAATGGCACATCATGGAGTACAGGCCTCTGTGCCCTTGTTGATGCGCCCTAACTGTAATACACAATATTTGCTGCTCTTGTAGATTCAGTTAAACTACACAGTTTAAACATTAGTGGTGTCAGTCTAAAGTAACACCTGTTGAGCATGCCGTGCAATCGTGGCTCACAGCCTAGACAAAGAGAAAAAAATTCTCCCAATGGATTTACTTGTAAGTGGAAGTTTGGAAATATACTCCTAATAACAAATTATGTCTCATTTCCTAGTGTTTTAGGGATGATTACATCTATTTTAGTTTGTTGCACTATCCCTGGAGGAGCCACTGGATTTGTTAAGATTCTCCTGCCTGCACAATGATGACCTGCTCCATACCTGGGTCCCAGAAACACACACACACACACACCTGGAACTGTGAAATGAGCTTTATTAAAAGTCCTGAAAGGAAAGTTGGAATAAACAATAAGATAATGGCAATTCAATGCACACACATGGTTAGAACCATCGTAACTACTGGCACAGGCAATGTCAGACAAGAGACTTGAATTTCGAGCTGCCTGTCTGTGAGTCTCAGTCTCTGACTAAGCCACTAGCCAGGGGAGAATGAACTAGAGTCCTGCCAGTGTTGGGGGCCCTTTCTCGGTTGAGTGCTCACTTTGTCAACAGCGAGTACTTGTAATCCACAGAGTAAAGTAAGCAAACAGTTCCCTCTTGGCAGAACTCCTCTCTCAGCAGCAACCAAAGAACATGTGATGGTGTCCAATAGTCCTTGCACCGTACAGGAATTCTGATGTGGTCCCTCTAGGCACAGACAGCTCCTCACCAGCTCCTTCTGTTTACAGAATAGGGGAGATTTACTAAAACTGGAGTACTCAGAATCTGGTGCATCTGTGCAACTTCTAACTTTAGCTTGTTCAACTGGTGAGACACTTCTTGTGCATATTTCCCACTTTAGAACTTGAGAATGAGGGACACTTCAGGGAGGTAGAGACCTGCGGTGCGTGTAGAACACCACAACAATAAGTGGGTGTGGGCAGGGGCGGACTGATAACTCATGGGGCCCCCGGGCAATGGAAGATCATGGGGCCCCTGTGTCCTTGCCCAAACTCAAAAAAGCCTATGAAAAAGGTACCAGGGGCATCTCATGGGGCCGCCTACTGACCCCGGGCAGTGCCCGAGTTTCCAAATGGTCAGTCCGCCCCTGGGTGTGGGCAAACCTAACAGTGGGAGGGGCTTAAGAGCCTATAAAATATGCTTTGACTGCTGTATCTTAAGCAAGAGTCTCACAGACACCTATAAATGCTTCACTTACAGCTGACCCCTGAACTCTGCATCACTCCTGACCCCTGAACTCTGCATCATTTAATACTAACCTCTGAACTCTACACCACTTACTACAGACCCCTTAACTCTGCCTCACTTACTACTAACCTCTGGACTCTCCATTATTACTGACCCCTGAACTCTGCATCACTCCTGACCCCTGCATCACTTAAATACTAACCCTCTGACCCCTTAACTCTGCATCACTTACTACTAACAGACT